TTTATGAAACTAGAAGATTGCACATTAGTGAAAATAGTAAAGTAAAAAAAAGGCACACACATTAAGCCACATTTAACATGACGGCCAGCAACATTGCATCAACTCTGACTTATTCAATTCAAAAGACTCGCTATAACTTTAACGCTTTCCACTCGTATGCCGAGTGTTTCTAATGCCAGCTTTTACGTCGAGCTAGGCAGACATATTTATTCACTATATAATATAATAATAATTACACATTGCACATATTCCAATACGACTTGTCATTGAGGCTAAATGTGATGACTTCTTTGCAAACTATATAGTGAAGTTAGTGAGTAAATAAAAAAAAAAAAAAAAAACATAAGGAGTGCAAAGGATTAAAGCAACTTTTCCTAGCGAAAAACGCAGAGTACTGACTCTGTTATTTTAAACATTTCTTATTAATCTTTTTTTGTTGTTTTTCATTTAAAGGCTTTTTTTTTTTAACAAGCAAAACATCCTACGTCATGAAGATTAAATGATTTTTTCCTTTTTACTTTCAATTCAAATTTGGCCCAATGATGCCATGGAGGAATGGCTGCTACTAACTTATTATATATTTCTTACTGACTAATAAATTTCAACAATATATGTATTTTTTTTTTTTTTTTTTTTTTTTTGGGGCTTTTATAGTCGTATTCACCACTAATACTTTACTTAGCTGGAAAACATTTTAATCAACTGTGGGCGCATTATATGGTCCATGAAAGCTATTTTTAATGGCACTACAGTATTTTCGAAATCCCTTATCCCCTACTTTTAAATTCGATGACTATTTCTTTCACTACCTGTTCTCACTTTCTACTGGAGTTTTCGAAAATATTGTCAGATATATGAAAACTTATATCTAACAATTTAACAAAAACTTATATCTTGACAAACCTTAATGAAGAAAGTGTAGAATGAAACAAATTCTACTTGAAATTTGACTCAAATAGCTTTCGAAAAGTCATAAAAATTTTTCTTTAATATAACCGCGATGCATGAACAATAAGATTTTGCTTGCATGCATCCAAATTTCATTCAAAGGTATATGTGTTTGCGGCTTAAGCTATCCTGCTCATTTTTTTTCATAAGCATGTACTTGTGTTATTATCTAGTTTTGTAAGCCCTGCAGCAATAACAACAACAACAATAATTCAAACAAGTAAATCCAATTTGCTCGTGGTCAATGGGTGTAAAATGTTGAAAAAATTTTTCCACTTACAAATTTTTATACTGAGGACATGAGAGAATGCAATTAATCACAAACTGTATGTATAACCTGCGGTAGGTCGTTAATGCCAAAGGCAATAATTGTCTACAAAGTGAATGACGATGACGACGGCGACGCCGACGACGACGACGACGACGACGACGACGACGACAACGACGATGATGATAAAATCACGAAAAGTTACTTATTGCAAACTTTTTGTTGGAAATTTAAATATCAAATATCTCCCCTTATTTTATTTTTCATTTTTTCACTGTTCACGTGTGCGTGCTTATATCTGAGCATAAATATATAACAACAACAAAAAAAGCGCCTTAACGTAAAAAGTTAAATGAAGAGGAATTTCGTTTCTTTGTGCCAGAAGGGGGAAAAGTTAATGCCCTGTGTTTTATATTTGTATTATGTAAGTGTTTACGCGTTTGTGTGTTTGCTTATTTAATATTATTTATTATTATTATTACTTTTACTGTTGTTGTTGTTATTTTTCTTGTATTCCTGAATGATTGTTAAATGTGTTTGTATCCTTATGTGTACGCATAAGTCTGTTAGGCCAAATGTAATGAGCCGTACGGTCTGATTAATTATGTTGCCTCAGGTTAAACACAAATGAAATGAATCTATTTATTCTGCGTTATGTGAGCAGCAATATAACTACAGAAAAGGAAAAAATTTTTTCATTATTTCGCTTCTTTTTGTTTTTTTTTTTTCTGTTTCCTTTTATTTTGAATCAAACTGACATAAACGTGATCTAATTAATTTTTAATACAAAAAAGCAAACAAACATTGCCATTGCGCAAACAGACTCGTTAGGATATGACATTAGCTCGAAGACATTTTCAAGTGATAATTATTTTGAAAAAAACGTAATTTTTCCGTTTCGAAACACTTGGTATATTTAATATTTAATATATATTTTTTTTATTTTTTTTGTATAATTGGAATGGTAATGCGATAATGATGATATCAAAGCCATTTGATGTTTAAGATAAAAAAATTTGCAGAAAAAATCGCAATTTTTTATTTATTTATTTATTTTTTTTTTTTTGTATAATTTTTTGTTGTGGTTAAGAATCATTAAAAATGCAAAAGTTCCTTTCGGAGAAGTTTTTTAATTAATGCGCCAAATGCTCTCAGGTGTCACTACGGGGAAGAACGTTTATTCATTCACACACACACACATATATACATAGATAATTTTTTGGCAATTAGTATGAAGCAAAGTGCAGTAATTGCTTTAGAAAGTTTTAATTAAGAAAATTTTTCGAAGATAAAAGCAAAAAAAAAAACAAAAAAAAAAAAAGATGCAACGAATTCGCCGCACAAGTAAGAGGATTACATATGCATTTTCTAATTTTTAATTCTTGATTGCTTTTATATAATATGCAGCGTAATATCATTATAACATTCATTCATTCATTCATTGAATATTTAAATATAATATATATGCGTTCCTTTCTTTCGATTTTAAGGTAGATTGGCGAGTTTTGATCCAATGCACTCGTCGTTGTCTAACATCTTATCAAATTTGGATCTTTTGCATTTTGGTTGACATAGTTAGTATTAACAAAATCTTATTGCGCTCTGTAGTTTTCGTTTTTCGTTTTTCGTCTTACTGCAGATCGGCTTACAATCAATAAATTGATTTACATTCAGTTCGTTTAAAAAAATTAGTTGGGAAAGTCAAACAGAGAGAGCAGATCCTGTCTGCTCTATACTAGTCTCAAATATCACTTTGCTCCCGCACAACAGTGCTGGGTTTATCGCCGGCTCAGCTGTGCAGCTATCAACTGTGAAATGCCTTTAGTTGTCTTTTTCGTTCATTCGTCCCAGAATCTCACATTTTTAATAATAATTGGATCTTGTTCTGACGCCGGCGCCTTGATGTGAAAGTTGATATAGGCCCGTAGATGCAAAAACTTACGCACCACAACGTAAAAAGTGGAGAAAAGCTCACTAAACTTTGGATTTATCTATAAGCCAATTGGGCTGATAAGTATGCGAATTAAACTCAGCATCGATACCTGTTAGGTATTGCAGTTTACTAGCTAGATCGGTATCCCCGGGCCTGTGGTAAGCATGTTCACAGCACAATCAAGCAAATGCATTTTACTATATCCACTGATTTCGTGGATCAATTTATTTATTTATCTGAAAAGCTTATATGTTGCGTAACACACTCGTCTTGCAAAAGCAAGTTTCATATTCTCCTCAGCAATCGATTCATTTCTACTTAGAAACGTCGAGTCAGCCTTAACCAGGAGATGTCTGTTATACATAAGATGCGTGGCGAATGTTCATTGTCGAGCCATACAGAAATTTGATGCCAAAGTTCTTTCCGTTTGCTTCAAAAACAAGATTATTGTAGATGGAATACCATGTAACACAATGATATAAAAACATAGCATATGGACAAAGCTTCCATTTTGAGCTTTGATCACTAGTGATGGGGAGCGAAACTGAGATGAGTCTTCGGAGGATCGTAGATGTGCTGAAACTCTCACCCTTTCGTGGTGTTATCCTGTCAAGTGTAGCTGTCCAGCTACTCTCCAAAAAGAAGGATTTAATTGTTACTTTCCATAACCCGGAAACGAGTTTTTCTCTTGGAAGCATAAGAGGGGTATTGGAAGAGGGTTCCCCTATATCAGAAAAAAGGAAATTTTCGTCTCCCATTCGATTGTCTGTCATCGAGACTATCGAACTTACGTAAGTTCCGAAATAATAAATGGCTGGGGCACAGTTGAGTGTGTGACGTGTGATGAAGTATTATTTTTTCAAGAAACGATAGTGCGTTGGATGGGCTCCCGGGATGTGTAAATGGCCGAAAGGCTGGCGTGGATGCGACTGCGTACAATGACATAACACCCAAAGCTGTATACCAAGACGTAAGTCCAAAAGTGGAACAAATCATGAATGTGTTGTGTCCACTGGGATCACGTTGCCCAAAGTACGAAAGCTCTTGGTAGGACGAATAACTTACCATCAAGCTACCGGCATGAATGCCTTGTTGCCAGACTACTGTGTACCACCCTTCGGAGAGTATCCTAATGGGTGTCGTTACCCCAAAAGTAGGGCCATTAAGCAACAAGGTTGTAGACAGGTCACGACGCTTGGCAAATAGCAAGAAAAGGGTTTACCCCCATTTTCCATTTTTATACCTCAGGATTAGTAGGGCTTTTCCTACTCCTTGATGGAGTCGATTATCGCTTATAAAATGAACTCAAATGCTATCGGGTGCTGTGCGATTATGTTATCCACGGTACATCGAACGTCATGATTATGCCGTCTATTTAAACGAAATGCGAGTGGAAGCGCTATCTGCTGGTTTCGTAATTATTTACAGAAACAAGCGATATGTGTGCCTACGCATTAAAAGCAAATTTTGTGGAGACTACATGGAAAAAAACGTCAAACCATAAAAATATTCAAAATAAACATCAGTCAAATTTATTTTAGATTTTCAGTCTTTACCTTCGTATTGCTGGAAGCCACTGCCTTTTTAAACGCAGTCGTGTACTTTTGCAATTTTGCCTTCAAATTAGAAGAAATTCATTTTTTATATTCGCATATATCTGCGTTTGTACTTTTATATATATAAACCATCCAAAAAAAAAAAAAAAAATATATATATTTATATATATTTTCGCATAGGTAAGAAAGTTCTTATTGATAGGTGGAATAAGGGAAACATATGGGAGACGTATTTTTCATATTGGCCATTGAATGCATATTTCTTTATTTTACATTTTAGGTGATTCTTACAAACATGTCTGCAGCGCCCGGAGTTTTGTGTTCAATTTGCATGGAATGCTTCAATAAGGATGACTGTGTAGACAGTAAAATCTGCGGGCATATGTATCATAGTACATGCATTCAGAATTGGCTCACTAGGTGAATACGGGCAAAGTTCGAATTGTATAATCTATCAGCTACTTGCTAATTCTTATATGCCAATTATAGATCGAAGCAATGCCCGAAATGCCGTATGAAATGCCGAGGCACTCGCAAATTGTTCCTTGATTTCGATGATACTGGAGATGAGGTGTGATGAGCGAATTGCAAACTAAAATAAAAGATAGCAAAATTAATTTTATGTGTTTGCAGGCAGCAAAGCAATTCGAAAAGCATTATCTCGTTTTACAAAAAGATTACACGGAAGTCAATGAAAGCAATAAACAGATTAAGGAAGAAAATCGGTGCTTATCTCTGCAAGTCAATGCAAGGAATAAGGAAATTTCGTTGCTTCAAAAAAAAAATAAAAAGGATGCAAGCCCAAACACCAAAACGGATAGGGAAACGGACGCGAAACTCACGAACTTCCTCCTAAAAAGCCAGCGATAAAATAAATAAACCAAACAAACTAGACATTTCATCCGCTTTAACACTAACTATTTAGTACTTTCTCCCTACTCTGTACAAATAATTGCGTCTTGTTTTTTTTACGAACTTTTGATTGTGGCATTGGAAAACAACTGTTACGTATTGTTAGGAGTTTGTAAGCTAAAATAGTTGTCATACCATGAACGGGTTGATAGGCATCATAATGTTTCAAATTTTCAAATTTCTTATGCAGTCATGAGCTGAGTAAACGTAGGCCAAATTTCAGTTTTCCATCTGAGCTTTTAGAACTGCGACCGCTTTGAGTATAGATGTTGCATGCAAAGGGACGGACTGAGGAAGATGTTTTCTTCGTTTCAGGCAGGTGCGCTTAAAAAAAATTTATGTATTTTACAGATTCCCTAAGTTATAATTCTACCCCCTCTCAGCTTTTCTGCTGATAAAATATTCTATTTTAAAAGATACTGTTCAACTCGTTTCCCGTTAGCGTCCACATTCTCAATCGACATTTCAGGCAACCAAATTTAAATGCTCAAAATTTTGGGGCCTGGGCGTTTGGGAACCTGAAGCTAGTATGTGCTGTCATGTAGTTACTTAGTTCATAATATAAGTAAACATTTTCTGATTCTCTGAAGACTTTTGAGAGAATGGATTATATATCGAATACTTTATACATTAGTTTTTCGAGATGCCTTAAGCATTTATATCGCAAAATACGCATCATTGTGAAGTTCAGCAATGAATTAATGTCATTGTGATGCCAGCTTTTCATTATATGCTGCGAGAAATGATTTAAATCATTTTATTATCATGCAAGACATCATTGCAGGATGAGGATGTGAAAATATAAATGGATTTTTAACGCAATTTGCAGTTGAAAGTTTAAAGCATGCTTGAAACAGTTATCTGTCAAAACTTTCTTATGGCAACTACACCCACTATATGGCTACTCATTTAATCTTAATACAGACTGAGCTATGTAAGAATATTTGGACAACGGTAATCAAAATTGAGTGTCTACATAGCAATAATAGTTTCTCTCTGTTGAATGTTTTGAAAACTTGAAAACAAAAAAAAAAAAAAAAAAACAAAAAAAAAAACTAGAAAAGTTTCATATACGTAGACACGTTATCATTTCGTTAAAATGTAAGAAAAAAAAGAAAAAGACACAATAACTGACGTTGGAAACAATATGAAAAACCATAAAAACGAGAAAATATAACAACGACACTTGAAAAATTATTTACGTTCTATTATATAAATTGAATTACAATGTGTTAAAATCCAAAAGTTTTTACATTTCGTTATTGAATTTTTTAACCGGTAAAAAGAGGAAAAGAAAAAATCAAAAAATATTTAGAGAGAAAGAGAGAGACAGAGAGAGGGAGAGAAGCGAAAAGAGAAACATCACAATTTTGTTTCATGTTCGTCGACAATTCAATTAATTAAAAGTTTACACAAAACTTTTTTACAGTTATACCTTTTTTAAAAAAAAAAGTGTACATATTAAAAATAAAAAAATAAAAAATAAAAAAATAAAAAATAAAAAAAACAAACTTTAACGCATCAAAGTTTAACACATCATACAAAATAATTTTTGTAGTTTGCTACTAACAAACTTTCATATATATATATACATATATATATATATATATATATGTGTATATACGAATAACAGTACTTATCTAGGTATGCATACGATAAGTGTAGATAAATGTGCAAATAAGTTTATTTTTATGTACCAATGGTCTCACAGGTAACAATCAAATTTATGAATTTTTTTTTGTTTTTTTTTTTTTTTCTTACCACATAACACTTGATAAGACAAACTTTCAATATTAAAAAGTAAATCTGTTTTCTTTTTACATGAAAGCAAGAAAGTTTTGATTTTCCAACGTTGCTTCTATTTTTTTTTTTTTTTTTGTTTGTTTGTCTTTTTTAAGAAAATTAAGTGAAAATATTTCTTTTAATATAAAGTGAATGTTATAAGTTCTCGGAAACTTTTTGCATTAATATATATATTTTAGTATGAATTTTTTTTTGTTTATGAAGAGAAAATAAATATTTTCTACATATATTTTACATTGGACAAATTCATCGCCAACTCCGCAATTCGATTAAATACCACCATTAAATACCCTACACTACACCACAGCACTTAAGTATGCGCGTCTTATTAAAATAAGGCAGATGAATACATGAAAGCTAGACGGACCGAAGGACAGACAGGCTTAGAAATGGTTTTGATTAATAAAAGGTGGGCGTATCGCGCTAGTCCTTCGGGGATTGCATGCATCTGCACGAACATCATACATCCTTGTGTCACGAGGGATGTAAACTATCAAAAGAATATTTGAGTAAAGCCAATATGCTAGCACACTTCTTCATTACAATATAACATAAATTAGGTCTTCTTTCGATGAGTTCCTTTATACGGAGAATGATCTGAGAAATATGCTTAACCCGCGCAAACTTATCATAATTGGTGTACTTATCAAATTAATATTTCTTGCCATTTTTCTTTGGAAAATACTAAATATTAAATTTTCTTAAAGGCCCATATCTTGATAATGGAAAACATCCCTGCCATGAAGATGATGCGATGTAGCTCTACTGGGCTTCTTCTTCCCCAATAAACTGCGAACTCTTCATGCTCTTACTTACTCAAAATTATTCGTAGTCTCGGCAAAATAAGAACAAATTTATGCTCTAAGATTAAATTTTTATAGAAGTTTAGAAGCGGCCAACCATACATGGATTCATTATTATATGAAAATGGGGTAAACCAATGTCTAAAATGAAAGAAAATTCATGTTGATATGCTTTACCGTTTTGTGTTTAGTGCAAATCAAAACAAAAAAAAAAAAATACTTATATAATTATCCTGCAGTTTTCTGAAAATTTTCTCTAAATTAAGAGTATAACTGATATTTGCTTTAAAAGTTGAGAAGAAAATTTTAAAGAATAAAATTTTTAAATAATATTTATTTTCAAAGATTTCCTTCTTGTGTAAGTTTTTATTGAAGAAACGAAACGAAAGTCTTAGCCTGCTAGTTACCATTTTACTTCAATCCGAGAATTTATTTCTTAAGCATAAATAAATTATAATAACAATTACAAGTTGTTAAATATTTTGAAGTCTGGTTTCAAAAATTTAAAAGAATTTTACTAAAATCATTTAAATTAAATTCTATTGTTTGTCTTCTATAGATTTTCAAATTAAAATTTTTTTTTTTCTTCAAAGCATAATCAAAAATTAATTTGTTGAATATTTTGTGGTAAATCAGTGAAACTTGACATGGAAAAAAAAATCACAAATTTCCTGATAATAAGGAATAATTTGATTTTATGCACTTGAACGCACTTCAAAAAAGCAGCGATTGCTAAAAAACAATAGATTGCATTTCTTGAGATTTTCAATTGAAATTCTATATAGAAAATTTCCATAATAATAATGTGTATAAATGTATATATATATATATATATATATATATATATATACATATATATATATATATATATATATATATATATATATATATAAATATATACAAGTGTAATCACAATGAATGTACATAAAGATACATATGTATATATATGGCTATCTTGTAAAGAAGAGAAAAATTTCTATCTTTCAGATGCGGTCTCCTTTTTCTTTCCTACCGGAAACTGTTTAAAACACTACCAGCTGTGCAATAAGGAAATTTTATTGTAAATTATAACATAGCTGGCGTAACAAATTTGCATCACAATACGTTCACAAATCATAAGGTCTGCGGCAGAGAAATAAAACAAAGGGAACATCTTTTCTTTTTTTTTCTCTCCAGTTAATTTATATTAATAGAAATACATGTTGCCGCCACATCTATTATGGTTAGTAGGCTGCAGAATTATACGGGCGTACATGGATATGCAAACGCACCATGTACAGTATTTCCAACTGTAATATATAAACTTATATAAGAAAAAGTACGTAATTAATTACGGCAGTAGATCATAGTTAATTTTATTAGAAGTGTTTAGAAAAGATTATGTAAAAGAATATGCGGCAAGTTATGAAAATACGAAGAATTTCGTCCCAACTCAAGTAAATTATAAGCTACAGATAAATGGGAGCTAAATAAAATGATTATCTTTAACGAAAGCACCGTAAAAGCTCACTGAAACGGATCAAAAATTCATTCCCAATTTTCTAAGAAATTTTAAAAATATATTTTAAAAATATATATACAAAAGTTCTCCGATCCTTTTCTGCCTCTAATAGATGTAATCGCTGCAGTTCATTTTATGCAAGGGATGCAACAATAGAAGTAAACGATTGCTATTAATAAATTCTACAATATATTGTATCACGAATCCAATACTAAGTTAGGACTTTATTCATAAAGTTTCCATTCTTCAAATGCGAAAGGAATTTAAGTCCGCTTGAGTGCTGGTAGATTGATATGTCAACTGCAATAGAACTTTCTTTAGCCTTAGCTATAATGAATACCCAGGCGATAAAGGCATAACGCTTATCGGTTGTGAACACACCCACTAAACTGCGACTACTTCATCGCTATCTCTTTCCTTTACCTTCCTTCTTCCTGACAGTTACCGTGTTACATCTATAGGGTAGATCCCCTTAGTGATTGGTTATATTAAGAAAAACGTTAAAAAGTCGTGAAAAGCTTATATGGATTTTCTTCTACTAAAAATTCTGAAGGAATGAATGCTGAGCGTCCATGGGTCTGTTTGTTAATTGAATGTGGTTTTAATTGTTCATTTTACAAAAACAAAAAAAAAAAAGAATTTCAAGCGTAAAGGTCTTAAATATCTTCCTCCCTGTTATTACTATTTACTATAGGTGGCGAATTGT